TGTGTGTGTGTGTGTGTGTGTGTGTGTGTGTGTGTGTATATATATAAAATTTTTTTTATATATTTGTTTTGGACTGTACTTGTATAGTGCCTTTCTACCTGATCAAGACACTCAAAGCGCTTTACACTACAATCTGTGTCCTCATTTATCCATTCATACAGCACTCTACTAGATCTCTACAAAGTGAATTGAACAAATCATTCTAAAGAGACTAATCAGAGCTTTATCACATTCATACACTGATGGGACACACATCAGAGGCAATGAGGGGTTCAGTGTCTTGCCCAGGGAAACTTCGGCATGTGACTGCTGGTGGATTTGACCCCCCAACTCTTGCATTGGAGGTCGACTGTTCTAGTCCCTCTCCCCCCCCCCCCCCCCTTTTTTTTAACTGAAGGATATTTGTTTTAATTTCACTTAATCCTTTTAATAATTCAGACTTCACTGCTTCTTCTGCTGCTAAAAGCTTAGCTTCATTTGGCTTTCTTCTCTTTTTTCTTTCTCCAAAGGTGGAGCTTGGGATTGTCCCAACTCATGCTCTAAATTATAAGAGGAATATTTGTGTCTAATTCATTTCTCTGTTTCCTTTAGAGTGCCAGGCTGGAGATATTGGCACCCTCCTGTTGGTGAACCCAGCAGGCCAGAACGAGCTCGATTACTCTGGTCTGCTCTATGAGGCAGCCAAGGTTTTCGGCCTTCGCAGCAGACGACTTAAACTCTACCTGGACCAGGACCTAACTCATGGTACAATGTTATAAAACATCTAATTAAGGAGGATTTTAATCACTGAACTTGGTTATTATGCTGGTACACATACAAATTATCTTTATAGATTATTCCCCAAAAAATGCTTTTGGTTGAGCTTTTCACTACAAAAAAAGACTTTATACTTGTGAATATATAAAAAAGCCTGCTGGTGATTTTAGTGACATTAAGTGATGAATGTTCTTGTTAAACCACTGTCGTTGCCTCACTTTAGCTGAGCTGGTATTTAAATCTTGTAAGTTAAAGTTGTAATATTTCACTATAAAATTCTATATTACAAATAAACATTTAGCTCCGAGTTAAAGCTCATGTCATGTTCGGGGAAACACAATTTAAAAAAATGAGTGCATTTTTCACCTGCACGTTTTCAGTATGCAGATATTAATTATGAAAATGTTTTTCTTTGTAGCTTCATCTTCCAAATTCAGTTACTTTTGGGTTTATTAAGTGCTCTAGTCATAACTTATCTGTTTATAAGTAAAGACAGTGAGTAGGTTTTCTTTAGAAGTAGGATGAGTTTACTTGGGTCATCTTGTTGGCAAACAGACGTTTTGATGAGTGATTGCACAAAATACATTGATTGCAAATATTAAGACTTTGTGAATGTGTTTGTGTTTTTCAGAGCTGCCAGCTGATTCGTCAGTAAAATCTCTTAACACCAAAACCCTCTTTTTGAGAGTCCTTCCGACCACCGCCGAAGCATAAAGCAATGGAAGCAGTCTTAGGAACACAATTCGAGCAACGTTTTTAACACCCAAAGGCCCCAGTGATGTTCAGTAAAGCATGAAGGAGTTTCTTTGTTTTGTGTTTAGATCCTTTTGCAAACCAAATCAGAAACGACTTCAGGCTCATGTTCATGTCTGAAAATAGGTTTGTCTCAAAAACAATCCAGTATATGGTTTAATTTATATCAAGACCGTATTTAAGTTAACTGTCTCTCTTTAATTACATAAATAATTTTTTTAAATATTCACATATTAATTTCTACATCTTATTGAGTTACAGTTGTCGTGCGTATATCTGTTGGGAAACTCTTCACTTGAAACTGATCCACTGATAGATTATTTCTACAAAACCAGTGATGAGACCCAATGGGGAAAAAAGCAACATGTAAAGAAGCTGCTGGTGAAAACTGTTTTTATAGCCATGAAACTTTTTAGAAAGAAATTGTGACAAAGGTTCATTTATTTCACATTAGTGTGTTTTTTTTTTCCGCTCCCAATAACTTCTGCAAAGAAAGGAGAAACTGTCTAACTCGATTAACTGTCACTGTTACCAATGGATGATTCTTTTTATTATGATAATGATGCAGGTTACTTTCCTTCATGGCTTATTTGCAGCGTGCTCAGCCCTCAGTAATTATGTTTTGGCACATAATTGCAAAAGGAATTTGGGCCATTGTGCTTCTACACAGATGTGAATTTAACAGAGAAACCTATTGTGTTCCTTACACTGGGGGGTTCTTACACAATAGAAAAGGCATTTAAAAGGTGAAATGGATTTTTGGGGTTTCTGTACTTTCAAAACACAAATGATTCTGTCATAAAAAAAGCAACAATTGCTTAATGTAATGTTTCAAGTGGCAACCAGAATAAATCAGAGGCAACTAAGGATCCACATGTTCTTTTCTATCTGTTCACTCAGCCCTCTAAATTGCAGCAGGAGACACAATATGTCGGTGGGACTCTGCAGTCTGACTTCATTGCCATTTTATAAAAATGTGCCTTGATTTATTATTAAGGTTGAGACGTTTCGACCGACTGTGTTTCAGCTTCGCAGCAAGGTCGGAGAACAAATGCAGCAAAATGAGTTATAGATGCTCGCTGTGGAATATGAAGCCGGGAGTTTTGGGGAACGTTTAGTTCCTTTTACTGAATGGAGGAAATGCTCTTATGTATAATTTAATGAAAGTAGCATTCTTTAAAGGAATGACTGCCACCTTGCATGCCAGAGACTTAAAGATGTTCAACTTGTATTTAGACTGTGCTCAGATCGATTAACTTTAGTAGCCAATTTAAATTGGACCGACTCCTAAAGTTAATCAGTTGTAGATGGACATCAGTTGACTGCTTTCTGAGAGTTTTGCTAACGTTAATTGGTTCATGAGATATTTTTCCAACAAACAGGAAAAACACAGACAGTTACATACATGATTACCCACCTTTCATGGCACTGGGTGATAATGGAGTTCATTACTTAAGTTTACTTGGTATAAACATTTAAGTGGTAGCTCTATGCCTATTAGGTATGCCTAAAATGTGGCTCTATCCTTTAGATCAGGGGTCGGTCTGCAACCTTTGTGATAAAAAGAGCCATTTTTGCCACTTTGCTTACTAGTTGTGACGCCCAGAGCTGCAAAACCTGCTATAACTGTGTACTATCAAGTGGTGGGCCTCTAGAAGTTTGTTGGAGATGGCCTTTCCAGGTTTTGGGGGTGATGTTTCATCCATCTTTACACGTTTCTTCCTTTTTTGGGTCGTGGTGGTCACTGGTACCCATGTCCAGTTATCACTGTACGAGATGCAGGGACACATGGAGACAAACAAGACAAACAACCATTCACTCTCTCACACCTAGAGACGATTTAGAGTTACCAATCAGCCTAACATGCATGTTTTTGGTCTGGGAGGAAACTCACGCATGCATGGAAAGAACATGCAAACTCCACCCAGAAAGGTCCTGGGCTGGGATTTGAGCCGGTAACCATCTTGCTGAGAGGCAACAGCTCTACCAACTGAGCCACCATGCTGCGGGGTGATATAAAATGAACAATGTCTTCCTATGATTAACATTTATTGATGTGTTTACATTTTTAATACAAAGAAAAGGCCAGATTCATGTAAAGAAAGAAACATAATGTTTTAACAATTTTATAATAATTAAAAAACTGAACTCTGCAGGCCGATGTGAGTTCTCTTAATTGTTGAAGTAAGTATCCTACTTACAGCATAAAGTTAAAGACCGTATAAAATTAGTTTGGATATCCAATTACATTTTTAAAGAAAAATACTTTACTTTGACTGTTTGTTTTTTCTGTTTTATTCTTAGTGTCCTCAAATATTCCTTTACAGCAGCTTGTCTTAAAGATATTCCAAAACATTCTGGTGGTTTGGAGAGAAAGATCACGCTGTGAGACTGGAAGTTGCCTTAAAGTAGCTAACAAACTGCTAGCATGATGTAGTCCACATGTTTTACACCTTGCATTTGTGCTATTCTTAACATATTTGAAAACGACAGGTAATCTGCTAAAACTAGCCATTTTCATTGTTGGCAATAATTTAAATAAAAATCAGTTTTATTTTAGTTTTGGTCAAAGCCTGATAGAGCTGCATGTGGCCCCAGAGCTGCAGGTTGCAGACCCCTGATCTAGACCTTCTGCGTTTCTTAAAGCTTGCTTTTGTAAATTATATTCAGAGGCTTTGAGACATATTGATAATATTTTAACCAGGCATTTCCTGCTTGTTTTTAAAGCTTGGAGAACTTGCCACATATTAAAACGTTTTTCAACTCTATTATCTGTGGACTGCTTAACATTTTACCACATTGACTGGGAGTCTGATCAAACCTTTCATCTTATTCTTTGCAAGAAAGTTTTATTTCCCAAAATGTCAACCTCGTTCAATAAAACAAAATGTCTACAGTCGAATAAAATCAGGCTTCAATGACATGTTGAAGCTTTTTAACAAATTAAAACAATACATACAGTTTTATTTTTCTGCATTTGTTTCTACACTAATTCAGATTCAAAAGAGCAACAGCATTGATCCCATCTGGCTCATCTGAATGCCAACCAAGTTGAGACAAAGTTTAAATTACAGCTAAAATGTAACCTTAAAAAAAAAAGTTTTCAATAGAACTTTGTCATTGTGTGAAGAGTTTGCTCAGTTTTTCTATAAGCATGACCCCAAATTTAATGTCAAGAACTGAATCAACTGGCATGTGGACTTTTGTCTTTGTGCAAAGTGAAGACCATATTTAACATAACCCAAGCATGACTTTTAAATCTTCCACAGTCTCTTAAACCTGTTTGCTGCTGTAAGGAAGCCATGCTTTACTTTGTAGTCCACTGAGATTATCTGCAGCCATGGTTATCTTTTAATCACAAATGATTTGACTGTTTTAAATCAGGTTAACAGTAAAATGGTTGGAAGAGCATTGACCATTTTGTTCTATTCTAAATAGTTATTTTTTTTTGTTCACAGCTGATGATTAGACATGTTAGTCTGACTTTGCCTTACAAAGAAAGTTTCCCCTGTTCAGTTTTCAAACTGCAAAGGTACTTTGGGAAATCCTGTGTATCTTTGAGCAATTAGATTCATGAATAGTTTGAGTGCAGTTGAAACAAATCAGCTGAGGGTACTGCTGCAGAACCGCTCCTCCTATTTTTACACCTTGCAATGAACTTAGAATTATTTGTCTCGTAATTGAACATAAATACAGTATTAATCTTCTTTTCTGCAAGTAAATGCCAGCGTCACGTGTCAGTGGCTTTACTGGTTATTTCTGTATTAGCAGCAAATTGTGTTTAGTTTTGTTTGGAGGTATTTTCAGAATCTTTGAATTATACATGGAGAAAATAGATCTGGATGGGTCTTCTCTTTCTTTATAGATTGTCATAGTCGCTGCTGGTATTTACTTTAATCCTTGGCAGTGATTTGATGCACTTTTAACTAACGGCACCAAAAGTTTAAAGCATGTCAACCTGAATTAAACAGCAGCATTACACTGAGCAGCTTTTTTCCTCTATAACTCGTTTCATTCCAACCAAAACGTTACATTTCATTAGTGTTTTTTCCCCAGTGTTTAGCAAAAGTGAAGGGAACATCACCCTCAGTGAAAAACAAAATTCAGAAAATATTGCCGTGGCAGCAAAAGGACAAAGGTGTACCTATAGAGCATGAAAACAGGTGTTTTCTTAAATATGTAGGCCAATAAGGCCGGATTCCAACTAATCTGTCTTGGCATCATGCGTGCTGTGTAATGGAAAAATCTAAATCTCTGCCAGTAAATCAGTTTTCAGCACCCTGCATGTTGCTGGCCTTCAGTGTGACAGCTGCAAGTAAAACTTAAGGAGGTAAGAGGATCAGAGTAGTTGTAGTTTGTTGTGAATGCAGGTGTTGTGTGAATTCAGAACCCACTAACCCCATCATGTTGTGGTTTGATGCATCATTATTAAAGACACAAGTAAGTAAATAAATGTGACCCAAGACAAAAACTCTTGTTTCATTTCACACTTTTAAGTTCATCAACATTTTGACTTTTATTTAGGTTCATTCATATTAAGATTTTAAAGAATGTTGGTTCTCTCAGGATGCTCTTGATACAAAAAGCTGGCATTCTATTTGTGCTTTCTGAGTAGGACACCTCAGAGATCGCACTATTGTGGTGTGGTTCGTACTTGTAGATAGACTGATAAATTAGTCTTCTTTTGGCTGTTCCCTCTTCAGCAGTTGCCACAACGAGTCATCCTCCTCCATCTCACTCTATCCTCACTCCAACTACCTCCATGTCCTCTAACTGCATCCATATACACTGCCTGGCCAAAAAAAGTCACCAACAACAAAATATGTCGCACTAATCTTTTGTTGGAACGCCTTTAGCTTTGATTACATCATGCATTCACTGTGGTGTTGTTTCAATAAGCTTCTACAATGTCACATCTATTTCCATCCAGTGTTGCATGAATTTTTCACCAAGATCTTGCATTGATCACTAGGCACTAGGCATGATGGGTGCATCACTTCACCTGCCTCTCTTCTTACCCTGATGCACCCATCACTCTGG